ATTAGTAATGATGATTAGTTAACTCCTCCTTAAATTAATTAATTGATGACCTGTTCACCAAAGATGCTGGAAGTGGTTCCACTCCGATGTCTTACTCGGTTTGAAGGAAATGATGCAAGTTGACGTTCCACAATGAGGTATGCCGACTTTATAATGATTCTCTACTCGCGTGGAAATTTATAAAGTACTAAGAGATAGTTTGCTTCTTACTGAAGCTTTCGAATCATAAATTATGTAAAAAATGCATACGCAACATATGTTTTAACGTATCGAAAGAGTGCAGAGGGGACAACGTGGCTTTTAGAGATGAGACACTTGCGGCGCGATTATAGTTACAGTATACGGAACTTGCTCTGCAATTTTCAGAGCTTCGTGGTTACAGACGTCGTGTGACCGGGGTCCCAGATTGCTGATGGGTATTCAAGTTTAGATCAAACTAGAGTTTGTACAAAAATGGTTTTAATGACGACGGGGCTAATGTACAATTTATTTCCAAATATCCAAGCATTACATTAGAATTAGTTACAATCTGATTGGTGTAAGGTTTTCCTGACACGTTTCGCGTTATGTGAACTCCCAGAAATAGTGTGGGAGACGTCTCAAGCTGCAGTTTGGTTTTACAAATTAAGCATGATGATAAAAGGGTTATTCCAACCAGAAACCCTAATGGCTTTCCATTTGGTAATTTAAAGAGTCATTTGTCATAAATTAAGCTCACGCTGCAGGACACAAAGATCTGAATAAGCATCGTTAGGCTCTGTTTTAGGCCCTCTCCCTTTGCTAATCTTTATTAATGATATCACGCATGAAATTACATCAAGTATCAGGTTGCATGCTGACGACTGCGTTTTATACAAAGAAGTCTCCGACGACGACGACGTTCAAATCCCACAGGGAGATTTATATAAGATCACAGAGTGGCGTGATGATTGGAAAATGTATCTTTATGTGTCCAAATGTGTCCATGTTCGATTCACTAGAAAACGTAAAATTGTCGCACCAATTTTAAACTAAACTATCATCCTTTAAAACCTAGCACTGAGGCAATATATCTAGGTGTTCGCCTAAGCGCTGATTTAAGATGGAATAATCACGCGAAGCAATTGTGCTCTAAGGCCAGCGGCATGCTGCACTTTTTGCGTCGAAATTTCAGAAAAGTAGTATAACTTGAATTGTTATAATACATCTGACATATATTTTGCTTTGCATCCCTTCCGTCTGGCTTTTTAATAATCTGTGTCGCTCATTCTACGCCTCATATGCCTTATTTTTATTAACCCAAATTACACACTGAAACGGTTTGCACCCTTAAGGTGTAAGAACGCTGTTCCAGAGGCTTACACCCAAAACTAAACTCGTTCAGCACCCTAACTTCGACGTAACACACCCCTTTCAATCGTAAATAAGGTGCTCTTGCATTATACAGTCTTTGTTGGGGGAAGGGAAAGTCTGCTAGGGAGAAATGAGGCGAACACCCTTTTTGAAGGGTATTCGTCGCACTAACACCAGCTTGCTTTATCCGAGGTTGTTATAGTGACAATCTCAAATAAATACAGACTGTTTCGATCATTTTTAGTTGGAGATACATTTCTTGAATAGAGATATACATATTAGGTGTTACGTGTAACCTTAGTAATTACAGAGCAGTCATCTGCGCGGATTGATATCTTTAAAATGTTGAGTGTAATAAGCGATGGTGCAGCAAGTGCTTCTGTTTCGCTTGGGATTTTAGTTTTTCTATGGTGTATATTAATAGCATACCGTTTCTTGCCCAGAATGAACAACAGTATTGAAAAACTTCGGTCTTTATGTAAATTCTAGGGAAACTGCCGAGTCATGATTCCTACCTCGTGCTTGACTCAATGCGTCTGTGTCTGTGCTGCATTTGTGCATATAAGAACTGCATGTGGTGCTCGTTGCTCGATAAATATCTCTAGGAGGCTGTTAAGATCACCAGCGTTATATTTTAAGGTGTTCACTAGCATCCTATGGGTATTGATGTAATACCCTTCGGCTATTATTTCTGGGACCTCCTAATTTACGCCCTTAAGTGTGTAATTTTTGTTAGTGAATAGCCAACTGGCCATAAGCTCATCGGTATTTTCAGTAACACTTGTAGGCCTTTCTGATAATAAAGTTTATTTTATTTTATTAACTTCATTGGGCATCATTCTGAAAGTTTCAACGTTCTTTGAGCAACCCTCGCTCACTGAAATGCTCGTATTTCTAAACATTTTGCACGACCCAAATTGCGCTTTCTTCTGTAAGAGCAGGTTTGCAACAACAGGCCTGCCCTTATGTGGGTTAACTTCTCAATCCAGTGAGCCCGACTGATTGTATCGGAGTCAAACTGAACGCAAAGTTTTCAGGTACGGCGTGCGTTTCCACAACCGTTTCTATTAGGCCGGAGCCCTGAGAAGGGCCGGTTTGGTTGACTGGATTGTCTTTCTGCGTCACCAGAACGACGCCTACAAGAGCGATTTCAGAAAGATTGGATTCCCATTTTTCCTGGCGTTCATACATATTGAGTTCCCTATTGTATTTGCAACTTGCAAGCTTACGTTCAGTGATTCCAACTCGCGATGTCAGAGCGGCTATTGAGTCATTTTTGGATTCTTGTTCCTCGGTGATATATTTCAATTGTTTCAACACGCTTGCCTGGCCAACGTGTAATTGGCGAACAATAGACTATCTTCGGCAGTGACTCAGACCTTGTACTACTCATGGGATTGGGGTTGCGCTCTACGCCTTGCCCTTCAATAAGGGGTAAAAACAGGTCAAGAAACATTTCGAGAGACATCCGAGAAAGGCAATATGAGCTAAATGTTGTTACTTCTAATATAGTAGATCTGTTCTTGCAAACAAATCTGCCCAAGAGCGGAATATTAGGTGTCGCCATGGGATAAACCGTTCAAGCTACGAAGGCCTTTAAATAATCACAGACACAACTTAAACCGAAACAGATATGCACAAACATACTCTTATTCTCACCAAGAGGATTTGTCATTTCCTTTGCAGATTACGCGATGATGAAACAAGTATATCCCCAAGTTTTCAAGCGCATTGGATCATACACAAGACCTTTTGTAGCACAAGAATAACATTTGAACGAAAGTGTAAATAGATTTCGCATATAATGCAATGCAGCATTTCGCGTCAACGCAGCTCCAGGGTGACTATGTCTTTGTAGGTAGTGTATTAATATCGCTGACCCTGACCACATAAAATGCGTGGTCCGAGTCAGCGACTGACATTCAATGTCATTTTCATCGACTGATACTTGGTGACCGGCGACTCAGCTCGCGATCCTGACTACAAGTGCCACGGGTGCACCAAACTGCACCAAAGATGGCACGCGCTGACCTGGTCGGGGCCCCCACGCTTTGGGTCACTCCAAAACAGCTGAAGCGTCACACCGAGTCTGCGCAGTCCGACGCCGCAAGCTCGTTGGGGGACTCAAAACCGTGGGGGGCCCTTATGCCGTTCTAACGCCATTCGATGGAAAATACATTGAGATTTTCTGTGTGCTGGGGTATATTAATCCTCAAATCAGGCACGTAGCCAGGGGGGGGGGGGGGGGGGGCATGAGGCTGCCCCCCCCCCCCCGAAACCTTCCATTTTGCTGGAACCTCCTCTCCCCTTCCCCCTCATACAGCATTTGCCATTTTGTCATGGGCGCCCCCCCCCCCCCCCCGCCCCCTTCCCGAAACAAAATCCTGGCTACGTGCCAACCTCAAATAATGGGAGTTGATAGCAGTCACGTTTCGCTTTGTTTTCTTAGTGAACAGGGGAATTACGTTGAGCGGATTTCTTGTTTACCTCGGGTGGTAGTGCGGGTGACAGCCGCGTTCAATATATTTTATTTTTTCTCTTCTCGGTTGGAATGCCGAGTGAACAGTTGCTTGGAGTGCTTCAATACTATGCCCTCTGGAATAGGCCTGTTGCAATCTCCCTTATCGCGGTGCCCGCTGATAGACTAAAAACATAGGGACCCTTGACATTTCGGCGCAACTGGATGCCAGGCGATGCAATACGCCATTAAAATATAGCTGCCTGTCAGCAACAAGACACACGGCACCCTCCCTTCCTCCTTCATACGCAGATATTTTCGTTAGCAAGTCTTACCGAGGTCTCTCCATAAGATTGCAAGCCGCAATCGATTGGTCACTATGCCGACAAAAGGAAACCTTATCTCTCATTTATATTTTCTCTCTTATCGCGCTTGAGCTGACAGTTACTCTTTTTGGATATTAATCAGCAAAATTAACGATATATGGCAGTCGCTGTAGGCTCATAACAGCCCCTGAGGCCAAAATATCGGCACTCATCAATCAGAGCACTCCAAGGCTCTGTTTTTATCTTAAATCTCGAATTTTTAATTTTTTTTTTTTTTGCAGATTATTTTTGATACGATTGCGATGAACTTTAGTACACTGGGTCCCCGAATACCAAGTTATAAGTTGGAAAGTGTCTTTTTGACGGGTGAGCAAAGTGTTGACACAAAACCGCAGCCCTCGCAAGATTGTCTCTCGACGTCAAAGAGTTCGAAGAATGGACGCCAAATGTAGCATTTGACTGATAGTCTGAACCAGGGCTTCTTTCTGTAAACGTCGGTATAGGTATTCCAAAAAAAAAGGGCCTGGAGAGCTGTCAAAGCTAACACTGTCAGCGAACGCCTATACGTTCCAACGCTGCAGTCAGTCGTGCAGCTATACTACACATCACCGCGCGCCTTTCAGCTGTCGGCACCGACAAAAAACGCTCGGTGCTCAATTTCACCTTACAATGAACCGCAGAGGACGCTACGAAGCAACGAAGCCAATCCGATGCCATGTGAATGCCACGTGACCGTCGGAAACGGCGCCCCGACGCTCGAGACGAGCAGTCACGTGACATGCTTCCGTCACTGAATACTGATTCGGACAGCGCGGGTAGCGTCCACCGCGCTTCATCGTATTCGGTGACACGCCATAGCACAAGGGAGCTCAGAATCAGCTTACCGTGAAACCTGTTGCTGCTGTGGAGCTCTACTGGAGCCGCCGCGTCGACGGCGCAGAACCGATAGCTCGGGCTATGAATAAGGCGGTGGCAGGTGAGCGGGATGGTTACCATAGCAGCTATCTCCGCCGGGGATGTGACGTTAACCGGCGTTGCCGCGGTATTGCCTCGGCTGACGTGCGGGCCCAAACGCTTCGTAAGTCGCCTGCTCGGCCAAGCACAGGACGTCGTCGAGATAGAAGCGGGGGGCAGGAGTGCTCGGTTGGTGGACGTCGAAAAAAACAGCCTCGGGCGTTTTTTTTTCCCCTTTGTAAAAAGCGATGCACTGAAATTATATACTATCCTAATAGTGCTTTCATAAAGAACCTCGTGAAATACAGTCCAAATCTATTTAGTTCGCTAATAGCATATTGAACATAGTTTTAGCGCGACAACGCCGCCGAAATACGAAGTATACACTGCAATTGTAGTAAGAGGAAACTTCAGGTATTGAACGTACCGGGTTCGATCTAGAAAATTAAACCCGGGTTTTCGGCCCCCGTGAATAAACTACAGATTACAGAAAGCCGAATCCCTTCGAGAATATGATGTTAGCGGTGGTGACAAAATGCGAAAGGTTGACCACACAACTTTACCTGGATAGGTACTAGAGAAGCCTTCGTCCGCCTAAGTATAATACTCAATAAACCGAAATTAGATATTGCGGATGCCTGTAGCATTTATTTCAGCGAAAAAGCTTATTAATAAGAAAGCCATAACTGTTTGTTTGTTTGTTTGTTGTTTTCTTTTGTTTGTTTGTTTTTGTTGTTGTTGTTGTTTTGTTGTTGTTGTTGTTGGTTTTTTTTTGGGGGGGGAGGGGGGTTGGCAGGTTTTTTTGTTTTTCTTTTTTTGTAATAAATGCTACGGGCACCCACAATTTCAAAGCTCGGTTTCATAAACATTAGGATTAGGTGGACGTAAAACACAGAGAACTTTTTTTGTGTACCTCTCGATCCAGGAAACACGTAACTGGCATCACATTCTTACTTAATTCCACCTTTCAGCGATGCGTAGTTTATTTAAGCGGGCTTAAAAGTCGAGTTTCATTTTCTCGGTCGAACACGGTTCTTGTTTCATAGAAGTATGTACATATTTAGAATAGTTAATTGGCATTGCTTCCTACCAAAAGTCGCAGAGGGAATTGCAAATGGGTGAAGCGAAAGAGGAACAAATTTTGTGCATTATTCAGCGTTTAGGACGTGGAACTGCGTCTTCGTGTGCGTTCTCGTATAAGTAAAAAAATTGTTGGTGCGACCGCACCGATTGTCATGCAATTCCTGGCCTGCTGCTTCGAATGCATTCGTCGGACAGAAGTGGGGCATGTGCCGCTGGATACACGAAGAACGTCGCTACAAAAGGGCAACCGCCCGATATCTTGCAGTTATCTATGACGCGGACGACGTCACCCGGCAAACGGCGGGGAAAGCCCCACCCTGCATTATCTCCGGGTTGTTGCCGGCCAGATACTTCCCAACCACTTGTGCTCAAGACTTCAATTAGGTTTCGTCGGTGAAATGACGAGCTACTCTAAGGGTGCAACCTGCCAACTATTCGGCACTGTTCAATTCGAGCTGAAGCTTCATTTTTCGCACACCCTTATTCAGTAATCAGATATTGTGATGTCTTTCCGAAACCTGGTTCCTTGACAGAGAGATAGAATGCAGTCAAGCTGGTTGGTTAACGACAGAATTGTAAACCCTGAATTGTAATATTTTTTGTATTGTTATTTTCGAGGGTTAACAAGTATATGTTTACTTGCACTGCATGATTCACAGAAGACATGTTCAAAGTATCTTGAGGTACATTGATTGGTTGTCAGACAAGAAAGACTTGCCCACCATTCGCTATTCAAATTAAAGACAAAATCTTCCAAACTAGTAGGCTGACAGACACAGTGTGTTTCTGTAGATGTTACGTTCCTGTCCAGAACCTGTAATATTTCCATAAATGCATGTCATTCTAAATAATGTCGTATTTAATATTTTTGACATTCTCTCAGCAACCACAGAAAAGAAGGTCTCCACCAGACCATGGCAACAGCGCTGGTACTACTAATCCTACAAGTGACACCCGCGATGCACAACCATCCAGATCAGCAACACGGGATCTCATGTACGCAGGCACTACTAATTTTATAAGTGACACCCTTGATGCACCGTCATCAGCATCAGCAACCCAAGACCACATGTACACTCTACGAAGCCCTCGGACGCAGAAACGAAAGATGTACAATAAGATGAGCCAAATTAAAGCAACTAGAAAGAAGTTAAAATACACACAGGAGCTCGTGACAAGGGGGGCGTTTTACAGAAATAAAGATTTTTGTTCCCTTCTACTGAACTGATTGCTAGAAGCGCCTAGCAAACAAAACACGCGCCGCCAACGCCGTACCCCCCCCCCCCCCCCCCCCCCCAATTCCGTCGCTACTGCAGCAAACTCCTTTCTCGACCGCGAGTGCCGCAAGTTACAAATACAGTCGTTAGAGTAAAGCAAAACGCTGCTCCAGAGGCACATACATCATCACACACGTTGCACTCGCTAAACACATCCACACGGCGTCGATACTTGATAGGTATCAAAGCGCGCGAATGCAGAGACGCAACGTTTCGGCGGTCAGAGACATGTTCTTTGATCACTTCGCGCGATTTACGTTCGGCGAGCTGTGCCTTTTTGCTGTGGTGCTGCGCCTTCGTAAAATCTTTCACGGGTTCTCAAAGGTAACTACTACCGTTTAAATAATGTTTAAAAGAAAACGTTTTGGGCGAATACGGCAAACGAGCAGAAAGCGCCTCTTCAGTACGCTGCCGCCCAGAGTCTGCAACGCTTCGAAAGGTCGATCCGATGGGCGCAAGATAGCCAATGCGAAACTTCCGGTGGCCTCACTCGCGCTTTAGCGATTAAGAGGGGAAGCGCCATACAGCAAATTGTCATAAAGATCAGGGGTTCAAAAGCCAGGTTTTTCTCGGAAAAATGAGGAGCGGATAGGGAGATGTGGCGTCATTTTATTTTTTTAAAGATAATTGAAACAAAAAGATTATATATTTATTCCTTATTATTTATATATTCTTGACGGAGATGCAATCGCACGAGCTCGATTGCCGTTAAAATAAATTACAGGAGGACGCTTAAGCATCGCCTTTAAAGGAGTATAAAATCGAAACTTGAAATATCCCCGCAACACTTCGAAACGGGTGAAATGTGATCTTGGATATCCGTAAATTATGATATCTTTTCGTCCCAACCGACGGATTCTTGCGAGCGCTTCAAAAGCAGCCATCGACGTGGCGCAATGCCTGTCGGGATATTTGCCCGTGACGTCACGCTCGTAACGTCACGGGCCCATACACTGCCAACAGTGCCGAAAGTACGATCGTCGTCCCTAGATGGCGCCAGCTTTATCGTCAACGCGTGGAATCGAGGAGTGGCGCTCCCTAGCGGCCACCTCTAGAACTAACGCTGTGTGGCAAACAAACCCTCCAACCTGAGGTGGCCAAACTAATCACTTATTGTATTTAAATTACATTTATGATTACTTTTCTAGAAACGACTGAAAAGTAGTTAAATTACATTAAAAACTACCACTACACGAAAAAAAAATGAATAACAATTACAAATTACCACATAAAAGTAATCAAATTACTTTCAAAATACTGTTTTATATATTTAAAAGGTGGAACTAAACAAAAACACTCTCACTCTGGTGAAGAAGGATGACCAGCGAAACTCTACTATGGTGGGAATGAAATAACGGCCGGCCCCAAGTCGGCAAGCCAGAGTGGAAAGGCTGGAAAGGTTTCTTCCATCTATGAGCAACGGCGGTAACTGTCCAGAGTGTTGTGTCGATATTTGTTTGCTGGCGGACACGATCCTGGGGAAACTAGCCCTTAACTGCTTTGCTGTAAAAAAAGGATGCACTCAGCTCTGCATTTGCAGATAGCAACTGTCAACCCCACACCAAGGCAGTGGACAAAACCAAAAACAGATAAGGCGAACCGACATGCCCTCCCAAACCGAACGTACTGACCTTGGGTGTGTTTGTGTTGTGGCTTCACGTTTCTTTCGAAATATCTATACTGCGCACGCTGTCGATCCACGGATGCGTCTGAGTTCGGATTGGTTTTCTATTTATTATTCCTGTGGGCTGTCTCCTTCGTGTGAATTTCGGGGCAAGGTAATCTTCAAGGGGTACAAATGTTATGTTTGGGGAAGCCTATTCTTGGTCACAGCAACAAATACTCAACAGGATTTAGTTGGTAGGACCCTCTAGTCCGACCTAGAGTGCCTTCAAGCAGCGCGCACATAAAGGCACCCAGTCCCACCGTTACACGAGCCAGCGGCCACAAACGAAGACCGCATTTGTCGCTTCTTTTTTAATTTTTTAAAAAAGCTTTTTTTTTTTTTTTGCGAATGCAAGAATTGCTTTTTTTCTGGCAAATAAAAACAAAAACATGCTTGATGATATCCAACAAGTAATTCCATATTTAATTACAATTATCGCCATTAGGGTAATTCCTTACATTACTAAATTACCTGCATCAAAAAGTAATGAGCCACATTATAAATTACTCTCCAAAAGTAATTTAATTACAGGAATTCAATTACAGTAATTTCATTAGGGCCACCACCTCTGCCTCCGACCGCGGCGCAGTCATTTGTGCATCCGCTGTCATGGAAGATGACGACGCGGGGCTCGTGAAAGGTGTTTAACCCTATTTTTTTTTTCCTAAACTGCTCTAGATAGAAGTAATCTCGTTCTCTTTTGCATTCAATGTCATCTAAGCTCCCTTGGAAGGCAAAACAAGCGAATATGTTGTCACGCGCGGGCGTGCCGGACCACCCGCGTCGTGTCGGCCTCGCGCTCTGGATCCGTGCGTGGCCGGCGCGGCGTTCGTGTTTTCCTGAATGATTCACGAAACACGCACTTCACTTGTCAGTTACTTTTTTTTTTTTTTTTTTGCGACAATCATGGACGACATCGGCGAAAGCAAGCGAGGTCTCGTTGAAGGAGAGTACGTGCTCAGCTTCCATCATGTCATCGAGTGCAGCGTTGCACTAGAACCGACGCGTACATGCTGCAGTCCTCCGCGGTG